CTGATACCATATTAAACATTGTATCGTTCTGCCCCGTACAACTTGTTCCTTGCCATCCCGATTTCCGTTTTTCATTTTTCAAAAACACTTAACTACGATTCATTCTCACTTTTGTTCGTTCAAATTTGGAAAGGATTCATTTATAATTGTGATCAGACAACAGTTCGTGCTCTTTTCTTGTATATTTTTTCATCCGTATCTGTGAAGTCTAGGTTCTTGATCTCACATAACCTAAGAATGGTTTACAGTTATTGACTATATTATCATCTAATTAAATCAGATGCCCTGACATGAGAAACAGGGGATGTGACACACCAAACCAATAAGCCAGGATCTGGACAAAAAAGATGTATCTTATCTTATCTTATCGTATCTTATCGTATCTTATGAGGGGCAGGTACTTCATCTGTAGATTAAGAGTCCACTTTGCGACAAACTCTTTAGCTAAATTCTCTTCACCTCTTAACCTATTTACTGCCTTGGCCCGCGACAGAATTAGGCTCTTTAGTAATACATGTACCATAAAGGTGTCCAGGCAGTGAAAGGGTTAAACACAAGACTTCTCAATCATCGTCACGTTTGCCCACAAGGTTAGATTTTTGCTCTTTAGCTTCGTTGTTGTGGTCGTCGTCTTTGTCGTATAGATGGCACCCCTATTCCTTTATTTAAAGATTGCACGATCTTAGTGTGAAGCATCTTTTCACATTTCGGAAACAGTCTAATTGACAGTGTCATCTAAGGTCAACATTGCATGCTAGAGCTCAATTTTTGTCTGAAAACTTTACATACTGAAAACCCGAAAAACCTCCTAGAACGTTCTGTCGTTCACGGAACCCCGAGCACTTAGATTCAACATTGCGTGTTTTTTATCGACAACACTCCGTTCACCGGACGTGTATTGTCTTCACCAAGGTCGTCTGTTCTTGATATCAATTCTGCGTCCGAAATGTACAAACCTACCAGCTGCTTACGACGTTTCCCGTTTTTGTAAGCCACAACTCCGGCGACAGCTATCAAAGCCACACATACCAATGATGCACAAACAATTATAGCCGCTTTTGCTCCGGGTTTTAACGGGTCTTCCGAGTTTTGCTCAGCAATTGGGCTAGAATATTTAATGGTACCTGGAGTTGAAACTGATGTTTGCGGGCTTTCGGATTGAGTGGCTGGTGTTGTAAGCCACCGCTTTTCTGAAGTTCTAGAGGTTGAACGTGTATTTTGAGTATTTGAACTTGAGAAATGGTGGATATCGGGGGTGGATGTTACATAACTTGGAGTAACTGAAGTAAGACTGGCTCGAGATGAAGGCGTTTGGGTTGAAGGATGAAAGCTCGGCGACGTTGCTGCGTGGGTTGAGCCACTCGTTTCTGTAGGACTAGTAGTAGGCGACGTTTGCGAAACAGGGGATGTATTTGGTGAGCTAGCAATACCTGTCGCTTTTGTCGCCTTTGAAGAGGTGGCTGATGATGTCTCCGTCGTAAGCGGAGTATTCGACTGGGTGCTACTGGTTAGCTGGACAGATGTCGTCACTGGGTTCTTATGACTGCTTGTCTCAGACGAGGGTGTAGAATTTCTGTGTTCTTCTGTGGTTACGTCAGTTGAGCTCGTCTCTGTAGCACTACCGGTTGAAGGTGTGCTGGACGGGTGTTTTGTCGAGCTCGGTGTTTTTCTTGACGTAGTTTGGGATGACGATGAGGTTTCAGGCCTTGGACTGGAAGTAACAGTACTATAAGAACTGCTAACTGATGGAGACGTAGAGGATCTAGAAGTGAAAGTAGTGGTACTTTGAGAAATGGTTACTGGTAGCGAGGTATCAGACTTAGAAGTACTCGTAGAAGTAGCGGCACTTGGAGAAGTTGCTGTGGATGAAGATGTCTCAAACTTTTGAGTAGAAGTAACGGTTGATGACGTTCCAGACTTTTGAGTAGAAGTAACAGTTGGCGGTGATGTTCCAGTCTTTTGAGAAGTAGCGGTTGATGATGATGCCCCAGTCTTCTGAGTAGGAGAAGCGGTTGATGAGGATGTTCCAGACTTTTGAGTAGAAGAATTAACGGTTGATGGTGATGTTCCAGACTTTTGAGTAGAAGAATTAACGGTTGATGGTGATGTTCCAGACTTTTGAGTCGAAGAGTTAACGGTTGATGATGATGTTCCAGACTTTTGAGAGGTAGTTGCAGTACTTGGAGAAGTGACTGGTGATGGCAATGTATCGAAGTTTGTCGTGAATGTTACAGAACTATCAGGACTTGACACAGATGGCGAGGTTCCAGAATTCGGAGAGAAAGTGGTGGTGGTGGTGCTTAAAAAAGCAGGGACTGGCTCTGTAGAAGCTGGCGTTGTTGCAGGGATGATTGTGGTCCGGAGGGAGGGTTCTGAACGAGTTTCTGTTATAGAGGTTGTGCTGCTTGGAACGCTACTTTCTGAAGAAACAGTGCTGCTTGGAATGCTACCTCCAGTAGAGACTGTGCTGTTTGGAACGCTACTTTCTGAAGAAACAGTGCTGCTTGGAACGCCACTTTCTGACGATGTTAGGGCCCTTGTGGCGTGTTGTGTTGACGGGCTGTGTGGTGCAGATGTTGGCGTGACACGCGAGGCGAAGGGTGTAGGTTTGGATGATGATGATGATGAAGATTGGAGTATCTCAGTCGACAAACCAGAAAAGTCGCGGGTTGGGCTGACTGTAGTTGAATGTGCCCTAGGCGATGGGTTTGGAGATGTGGGTATTCTTGTCAGCGGGCTTTGGGACTTTCTCGGTACTGTTGTGTCTGGTATCGTAGAAGATGTTTTATACGTGGAAACAGGTGTAACGGCACTCCCAGAAGACAAAGCTGGGTTTTCTGGTGTAGTAGTATCTTGACTGAACCAAGTAGAGTGCGAAAATTCTGAACTTGTACTTGTACTTGTAAACAAAGGCGTAGAGGAAAATAATTTTCTGCTGGTAACATCTGTCTCAGCTGACTTTGGAGAAGTGGTGGCCTGTTGTGGTGACGTCACTTCTGTAGGTGGGTTCGGTGAAGGGCTAGAAGACCTACCACGGGTTGAGGTTGACCTGGTAACGGCGATGTAATCCAGCGCCACTGTGCTCTCGTGTGACACGCCAGACACCTGGAAGCTCAGCTGGAGAGGAAAATGTTCGCGGTTTATGATAAATACTATGTTATATGTGGAGACAAAGAATGCGGCAGAGAGAAACAAACAAGCAAATAAACAAACAAATAAATAAACAAACAAACAAACAGAGAATGAATGAAAAAAATTTTTTTTAAGACAGACAAATATAACCGTGTTAAGACATTTTCTATGTAACTCACAAATATCCAACACCAAGTCAGGACAAGGCCGAAGGAAAAAAAGAAACAAAGAATGAAATAAAGAAAGAGAAACTCAGAGAATGAGAGAGAGAGAGAGAGAGAGAGA